TGTGGACCAGTGGGGAAAGATAAACGTTTATTTAATTGCCACACACAAAACTTTCACAGCGATGACAAAATGCCTCTCCCTCCATATAATTAGCTTGGCCGATAATGCCCATTGAAAGGAGCTGGAGCTGGCACATCAGACAAGTGATTTATCATACCCAATAAGTGAGAACACTTCTGATTGAGCCCTGCTATTTGCTAACAATAAATGAAAGTTTACTCTGCTCTTATGGTTCCCATGTCTTGGACATCGAAACGAGCTTGAAGTGATGGCGAGTTGCACAGCTGTTTTGCCCCGTTGTGGTTGAAGGTAAGAAGAGAAAACACTCATAAGAATAGTTTATTCAATGTTCTCGTCAAGACATTGGCCATTGGCATTCAAGCAATAAATTAAGCATACCTGCAGGATTTTTTCTGGTCGTTGCGGGGTCGTTAGCATTGCCGCAGGCAAGCAGTTAATTAAACGCTGCGGCGCTGCTTTAGCATAATTTAAGGCCCCTCTTGGAGACCCTTCGCCGCAATTCTTCGGCTAAAATCATGAACAAATGGCAATGCAAATGTTGACAAAGGACCAGCAAACAACAAAAATACGTAGCAAACAACAACTAGTGAAGTGGGCACTCGACAAAAATGGGAGCGCGAGCGGGTCGGAAGAACTAAAAGGATGCAGCCGAGCAAACAATGCGGGGGCCAGGACGGTTAGGCCTAGTCCTGGCCCAAGGCTCCCGCGCAGCTGCAGCTGACCACAGCTCGTGGCTGCAGGAATCCCCTCCGATGCGAATTCCCCAGCTTTCCCAGAGCCCAGATCCCGTGCCTCCGCCTCTTGAGAAATACCGCTTAGCTTCTGTTTTCCCTCGCTGCTCCGCTTTCCCTTTATTTTTCAGGCATTTTGCTTGGAGTTTTTCGTTTTTTTGCTCTTCGCTTTCCCCTTCTTTTTTTTTTTTTGTTTTTCACTGGTAAAGTCTATTATGCTTGTGAAAATTGCTTTACAGCTGCAAAACAATGCGGCAAAAAAGGTTACACAGCACAAAAAGAAAAGCACACAAAAAATGAATAATGACAGCGAGCTGGAGGGAATGGACTAGAGATTACTTTTAACTTCGCTTATCCTCGAATAGGCAAATACAGAAGCCGTTAATGCCCTTTCACACTCCATAGATGTGATAGATTCGTTCGGCTATACGATAGCAATAACATTCACTTTCCCGTAACGTGCACCATTCGTTCTGGTGGCTGCGAGACATGGTACATACGTATTAAAATATGTAAATATTGAGCATAGTTCTGCACAAACACATCGGCTACATCGCGGATAATCTATATTCATTTTATTTTTCATCAGCTTGTGCTGCCCGCTAAAAATCATAATTATCATATAGCCTGTTAGGGTATTAAAAGGGAATTTACTATCAAAGTGTACGAGAAGCAGCAGTGAAATAATATTTGCCTCAACCTCGAGGGGCCTTGGGCCTGGGCCTGAGTCGGGGCTGGGGCTGGGGCTGGAGGCTTGAGAACGAAAGTGCAGCTAAAATAATTTGCACATAATGAAGCCGGAAGTGTGAATGCAAAGAATACAAGAAAAGTGGAAGAAAAGAACTTCATTATCAGCGCCGAGCAGGAGGAGAGAGAGAGCGATAGCGAGTCTCCGGCTTAGTGGAAGCATTCAAGCAGAGAACATTACACAAAAATCTTTGCAAGGATTTTCTAATTAAAGTTTCAGCAAACGAACGAAGCGCGGCGCCAAAGTGAAATTAATGGCGCTGCCTTTTCGGACCTGCCCGGGACTCCCCTACATTCTGTTTTGTGTGTGTGTGTGTGTGTGTACGTCTTTATGAAGTCAACGATGGCAACACTTTTGGGCACTTAATCTGTTCTCTCACTCTCACTTCTTTTCTCAGCTGTCCCGACGCCTTGGCAAGCGAAATGTGTGTGTGTGTGTGTGTAATTTATTTGCAATCAATGCGGCCCGAAAGGACATTATTTTTACATTAAAGCAAGGGCTAGAACAGGGGACAACAAGTCTGTGTGTGAGACTACCAAAGTTGGCCAAAAATCTCTGCCAAAAACCAACATTTGGCAGCTGTCACCTAATACTTTTCATACCGAGCAGACATAAATAATGCCAGAGTCTGATGGAATGGCTGGGCATCGCATAGCGAGAACATCGAAGATCTGCTGCTCAACTTTTTCGGCGAATCATCTGTGACATGTGGGCTCTCCTATTTGTGTACAGAACAGCTGACATATCATGAGTCGGAACTGCATTAATGGGAGTTTCATTAGGCCGAGCAGGGGCCATTGCCTCTGCCTCCGCTACAGTACCTTGGGTGTACGTATATGTGAGTCAGTTTCTCAACAAAAAGTTTCTCGAACCCCGGGCACGTACGAGTATCGTATGTCATAAGCAGGCAAGCGGCTTAGGGCAGACGACTGCAGCGGACGGAGACACAAATGACGCTGCAGTTGTGCAGTTGGAAATAAAATTATTAACCTCGCTGCAATGCAACATAAATAGGATTAGTGTCTGCAGTAACTGCACAAGAAGAACAAACAGTACTTGGAGTCGAAGGAGAAGCAGAAGCAGAAGCACAAGGAGGCCACAACAAAGCGGAGCCAGGCACATTTGCATTTGCATGTTGCATACTTCACGGTAGCGTGCTCACATACGAGTATGATAAACGGCAGCGACAATGCCACAACCACAAGTACATGCACTCACACTCACACTCACACACATGTGTCTGTCTGCGACCATTTCCCTTTTCCAGTGTCTGGTCCGTGCACGTTTTGTCTGCCACCATTCGCCTTTGTTTGGCAGCGCAAAAATGCAGCTGAGTATTTTCCGTAACATGCAAAAACTTCATTTCATTTCTGCGGCTGTCGTCCAGTGTATTGACCCCTAGACGCCCTCCACATGCATTAGTGGCCAAGCCATCCCCTGCACGCCCACCCCCACAAGCCCTTCCGACACCATCGCGGTTTTTGCAAGCATTTTGTTTGCTTTGCGGCTTCCGGTTTCTGTTCTGAATCCGATGCACAAGCCGTTTAAAAAATCCCATCTACCCAAACAGAAGTGGTCGCATTCCCGAATATTCTTCAATGCTTAGTATCCCCGATCCTGGTTTGTTGGATTACCCTTTAAACTCGGCTTATCTGTGGCAGTTTACTTTTATGTGTTAAATCTGTTTCGCCGACTGACTGCATGTAGGCGTAGGCGAGCACCAAGATATCATTTTGAAAAAATACAAAGAGGTTGTTAGTTCATGAAGTCAATATTGTAGTCACGGACCGTAAATAATAATTATATCCGTACACAAAAAGAGTTAACGGGTATATTAGATTTGTGGTAAAAGTGGATGCGTGCAACGCAGAGAAGGAAACGTTTCCGACCCCATAAAGTATATATATTCTTGATCAGCATCAATAGCCGAGTCTATATAGTCATGTCTGTCTGTCCGCCCGTCTGTCCGTCTTGCTTCTTGCTTGTCACCTAGTTCTCAGAGGCTATAAGAGCTAGAGAAACCATATTTTGTTTTCAGACTCATGTCAGACTCGCCCCTTCCGCCCCATAAAGGACGAAAATCTGTGGCAGGCACAATTTTAAAGCTACGATAAAAGTATCGTAGTGAATACCCATATCTGAATCAGATGGGATCATAATTATAGCCAGAATAAGTAGAGTCGCGTCCCCAGAAGCGACTCACACGTTCCTTCTCATTATTTTTTGTTTCCCGAAAATAGGCGGCTCTAAGAATAAACTAAACAAATACACCAAAACTTTTAAGTTTTTAGGATAATCATTACTGATAATAATTATTTTTATTAGTTATTATTAATAATAAATCATATAAATGTAACAATATAAAATATAAATATATCCATAAAATACACTTGGCTTATAAAGATAAGGTGATTATGTCCATGATTTAAATTGTTAACAATTCTATAAAAATATTGTTAAAAAGTGCCAATTTCTGATATTAATTGAGTCATAAATATGTAGTCATTCATTCGATTATTTTAACGCAGCATTGATAAGGTGATTATTCATTAACGAAATGTTTTAAATGTTTAGGAATTCATCGAAATTAAACAATAATCAAGAGCAACAAATATACTTACACAAATGGCCATTTTTTAGACAAAAATTGTTCACACAAAAGGTATAAAAACAAAATCTATCATTAAATGTTCCGTTGTACAGAATGACATTTTTGGCCCAAATTTGAGATTTTTTGTGACTTATTTTTCATTTTTGAGGAACCTATTTACAGTCTTATTGTAATTTGGTGCACGCGTTGCGGAAATAGCGCCTTACACACACATTTTTTTCAAGTTATTTTAACTTTACGTACGCCTTTTGTAGATCTCCTCAGAGTACTTTTTGTGTTAGATAAGTAGGGGATAGATGGGAATGGAGACATACTGAGAGTCTCGCGCCAAGCGGATTTGGCTTTAAAAATTATCGCGGAAATGCTAAAATGTTGTGCATACGCCCCATTTGGCGCATGCAAATTTCATATATTGAGCAGAGCAGCAGGAGAGGCCGTACCACGGTCCGGGCTCTGTTTGGCTAGCATGGTCTATGGCCATAATTGCAACATGCCACACAGAAAACACACACACACACACACACATACAGAAACTAAACCAACTATGAGGCTTGGTTGGGGCACGTAGCCAAGTCAAACAAACCGCGGGGCATAACCGACACAAAAAAAGTCACGAAAAAAGTCACGAAAAACGAAGCAAAGTCAAATTTCTAGTTGGAATGTGGCTGAGCTGTGGAGTGTGGGCATGAGTGGGGATGGGGAGAGGTGGTCTAGGCCGTTCTGGGACTCCTTTGTGGCGTTGTTATGACTTAATGTCGCAACAGCGAGTGACGGCTATGATGGAAGTACACACCCATTGCGTCGCCCGTGGAGCTTATTAAAATGTCAGCAGTCCAGGAGTTTATGACAGCCGCATTGATGTGCCCTTTTCCCTCTCGTTTCTTTGCAGGCTTGAGAAAGTAGTCTGATAGGAATCAGCTCATCTTCTAGTATGCCATGGCAGCGGCAGCAGCCACATCGACGCTGGAGGATCGACCACACGACATAGCCAGCGACAACAGCGCCCAGCACCGCACGCTGGCGACGAAGGTGCGCCGAAAAGAGTCGCGGCCCCTGCGGCGCCTGCATCCGCCCATACCGCTGGGGCAGCTCCTGTGGCTGCTGTGCTGTCTGAGCCAGCTGCGCGCCGAGTGCCCCTCGGTATGCGAGTGCAAGTGGAAGAGCGGCAAGGAGTCCGTCTTGTGCCTTAATGCCAACCTCACACATATCCCCGAGCCTCTCGACGCCGGAACACAGCTGCTCGACCTCAGTGGCAACGACATTCAGTCCATCCCCGACGACAGCTTCGCCGCTGCGCAGCTTCTCAACCTTCAGAAGGTCTACCTGGCCCGCTGCCGCCTGAGGCTTATTGAGCGGCACGCGTTCCGTAAGCTCATCAACCTTGTGGAGCTGGATTTGAGTAATAACCAGCTGGGGGCGATCCCTTCGCTGGCCCTCTACCACGTTTCGGAGCTGAGGGAGCTGCGGCTGAATGGAAACCCCATCCTGCGTGTCCCGGACGACGCTTTTGCACACGTACCGCAGCTGGTGCGCCTGGAGATGAGCGACTGCCGCCTGGTCTTCATTGCGGTGCGAGCCTTTGCGGGCCTAGAGAGCAGTCTGGAGTGGCTGAAGCTGGATGGCAACCGGCTGAGCGAGGTCAGGAGCGGCACCATCACCTCGCTGTCCTCGCTGCATGGCCTGGAGTTGGCCAGGAACGAATGGAACTGCAGTTGCTCCCTTCGTCCGCTTAGGGCCTGGATGCTGCAGCAGAACATACCGAGCGGGATACCACCCACCTGCGAGTCTCCCACCCGACTGACTGGCCGCGCCTGGGACAAACTGGACGTGGACGATTTTGCCTGCGTTCCGCAGATCGTGGCCACAGACACGACGGCGCACGGCGTGGAGGGACGCAATGTCACCATGAGCTGCTACGTGGAAGGGGTGCCCCAGCCGGCTGTGAGATGGCTGCTCAAGAACCGCCTGATAGCCAACCTCAGTGCCGGTGGCGAGGACTCCGACGAGCCGCGCACGGCGGCGGCCACACAGGGTCGCAAGACCTATGTCGTCAACATGCTGAGGAACGCCTCGAACCTGACGATACTAACGGCGGACATGCAGGATGCTGGGATCTACACGTGCGCGGCGGAGAACAAGGCCGGAAAGGTCGAAGCCAGCGTGACTCTGGCCGTATCTAGACGGCCTCCGGAAGCTCCCTGGGGTGTTCGGATTGTTCTGCTGGGCGTCGTAGCCGCCCTACTGTTTGTGGTTGGCTCCTCGTTTGCCGCCATCTGCCTCTGCTCTCTGAGGAGGCGGCGGAAACTGCGGCTCTGGAACTCCGTTCCCCCCGTAAGACGCAGCGAGAGTTATGAGAAGATCGAAATGACGGCCCGGGTGCGACCGGACCTGGGCGGAGGCGCCAGCTGTGGCGGTGGCAGCGCCAATGGGGCCGGTCTGTTCCAGGATGCCGAGGAGCACGGCTATCTCCGGGCCGCCCACACACCCCTCAACGACAACGATGCGGGCCAGGCGGCCATTGTGAATCCCAGTGCGGGTAGCGCCCAGCGCCGCAATGGCGATTATCTACATGTGTCCACCCACTGCGACGACGAGGAGGAGGACCAGCAGCAACAGCAGCAGCAGCAGCAGCAGCAGCAGCCGTCGCGAAAGACTTCTATGGGAGGCGACTCGACAAAGCGACAGGCAGGCAATGTTGTCTCCGCATCCGCATCCTCTACGAATAATTCAGTGGCAGTGGCGCTGGAGGAAACGGATCTGCACATCCCGCGCCTGATTGACATCGGCGGGTAAGTTGACCTCGCACCCTCATGGCCTGCCCCAGCACCAAACCCTACCCCGGCCGCACCCCCACGCCCAAGCCCCACACAGCCCGAGTGCTGGTGCAGCTTTTGTTTCTGCGGTTCGTTACTTCGAGTGGCAATTGTCCTATCCCTGTCCGTGTCCCTGTCAAAGAGCTGTCATGCTCGAGTGGGCCGCACGCCCGGATCTCCGTATTCCGTCCGTATTATGGGCAACACTTGACACTTCCACTTTGTGCTCGAGCAGCACTCGCTCCACCTCTGCTACCCAAACCCCATCCCCACCCGGATCTCCCTTCTCCATCTTACAACGCGCGTGCTAATGACGCGCGAAATATGCGAGGGCTGGCCCCACAGCCAACATCCAGCAACCTCCAGCATCCAACATCCAACATCCAACATCCATGAGAAGTGCTTTATTTTGGGCTCACACCGAGACCTCACTCTGCCTGATTGGCGCTGGTCGTGTGAAAGGAATATGAGTGCGGGTTAATGGATATGGGGCTGGTTATCGTCATGGACATGGACACAGCCGTGCGAAGAAAGTACCCACCGAATATGGATGTGGGAATGCAGAAGAGCAGCGAACAATTATATGTGAGCTGCTGAGGAGGGCGAAACTACACTGAAAGAAAACAGGTTCTAATATCAGAGCAGCGGGGAAAAATCAAACAACTTTTCATACCCTCTAACCTTCCACTTTCGAACGGCTAAACAACGCTGCCAATATGTTTGCTAGGCCATTGGAACAGTTGAGATGTTCCGTAGTACATGCAACATCTTAGGGAGCCTTCACCGACTAAAGCATAAACCACAACTAACCCAACACTGTTTTTCTCTCTCTACCTCTCACAGCACTGATTCCGCATCCAGTTCCATCTCCAGTCAAGTGGATGCTGCTGCTCGCCTGGCGGGCTATGGAGGACATGCAGTTACGTGGAAGACAACGCCCATAGCCACCACCAAGATCACTTCGCCGCACAGTAAGCCCCCGACGACGACCATACTAACCCAACCTACTCAGGGTGCGACCTGCTCAGCCACGCCCTTCTCCCGCTACGGCAACCACCCGGCGGATGAGATGGCCACGTCCGTTTTTTGCAGCAGCAACGGCGACGGCCCGGATAACGATCTCTTCGACAGCAACTATCCGGATCTTCTGGACATAGCCAAGTATGCGGTGGCTCAGGCACATCAGCAGCAGCAGCATCAGCAGCAAGGACATGTATATTCGCAGGGGATGCCGGCACCCAACGGGGGGCTGTGCACGCTACCCCGGAAGCTAAAGACGAGTGGAAAGTACTTCCGAAACTCTTCAGACAGTCAGTCGCCCCTGTTGGCCGACAACTCCAGCAAGTATGGCAGCAGTACCCTCGGAGATGGAAGCTTTCTGAACGAAGCCATGGGCCTGGGAAGGCGCTACTCGGCCGAGTCCAGTTATGCCAACTATGCCAGCACGACAACCTACACTGGCGGTGGCCAGAGAGCCAACAGTTTTCTCAATCTGGTCCAGAGCGGAGCGCACAAGGGTGGGCCCCATAACATCGGACACAAGCCCAGTCTGCCATGCAGTCCAGTGCAGCATCAGCGCTCGTTAAGCAGTGCGGCCACGCCCCTGCTGGACTTCTCTGCACTGGCCAACAGAGCTGCGGGGGCAGCCAACTCGTCGGTGGCCGCCTACGACTATCACGCAGCCCAGCTCGAGCGGTTCCTGGAGGAGTACCGCAACCTGCAGGATCAGCTCTGCAAGATGAAGGAGACCTGCGACACCATCCGGAAGAAGGAGACGCCCCTGAGGGTGGCCGTTGGCCAGTCGGCCGCCCAGCTGGCCGATCCGGTGATGTACAGCGCAGCTACTGCCTCGCACAGCCCCAAGACCCCAGCAGCCTCCAACCTGAAGTCGAAGACTCTGCTGCCGGGACAGCCCCCAGATCCGCCGCCCTACTGGCTTCACCGCAATGCCATGCTCAAGCGACTGAACGGCGACGGCAGTGGGACTACGAATGCGTCTGGCGTCGGGCCCTCATCCCCCCAGCCCGGGCAGGATATTTTCAAGAGCTAATCGAACCCGTGTACAGATGGATGGATGAATGAAGATCATGGCAGATATTGAGAGTCCTTGGCTAGCCAGAGAGGGCTATTATGACAAGCAAATCGGCCAGCATCAGGGTAGCCTGCAAGGTAATGCCACCACTCTGATTGCATTTGTCTGCATAGGTAGTTAGGATTAGGTAGCTGGAGGACATCCAACTGGTTCGATGCCCAGCCCCCCTCTGTTGTATTATAGACACACTTTTCCACTCTTTATACTCGCTAATACGCAATATTAAACGGAATCCCATGACGAGGAGAAATCAGACAATGTAAGTGTATAGTATAGTAATCCCTTAGAAAAAAAACAGTATCTCGAAAATCCTTATCGGAACCTAATCCTTGAACCCCTCCCTAAGCGCTCTCGTGTTAGTCTAACTAAAAGTGTTTTTGTACTTTAAGCGATCTCAATATAGAAGAAGGATAATGTAGTTGACCTTGGATACTGTAAGTTCATTTGAGTTGGCACAGACTGCAGGAATTAATGGATGAATTCAATGATTGATTGACGTACTCGTATTGTTTAATTGTTAGATGGTTTTATTTTTAGGTACGAAACTCAAATTAAAGTTAGACATTAAACTGAACTTTTAAGCCAATTAACAATCGACAAACGAAAAATCTACACACTAAATTCAGTCGAATGACAAATTGTAATTTACAACCGTAACAAAAACATATTTTAGGGTGTCACCAAACTAAAAAACTCAAAACCATTTCACCCAAAACAAAGCAAAACGAAAACGAGAAAGCAAAAATAAATTAGTTGAGAATTGAAAGAAAAACAGAAACAAATCGAATTTTAATGGTTCGTGGCATGGGGGAAAGCGTGGGAGTGGACATTCGATGTTCCTGGGGTCAATTGAGAGGCGTGCAAATGTCCATTTCCGCTGGGGAAAGGCTGAAACGACTTCCGTGGCCCCAAACCTGGAGGAAGTAATGGTCGCTTGTCGTGCAACATTTGGTTTTTGCGGGGGCGTCTACTGCTACGCCCCGGTCAGGAGCTAAGATTAAACAATAATTTCACAGCACACTCGCAAACTCCTAGTGGGGGTCCGGGAGAACCTACCCCCACCACTCCATTCGAAATGGCGGCAATTGGTTCGGCGTAAATTTCTTTTATTCCCGCTCCGCATTCCGGCTGCCAAATGAAGTTGTAAAATGCAAATGAAGCCGTCTACGTAGTCACATGAGCGTTAAAGTTCATGTTCGATGTGATGTCGCCATAAAGCAGGATTAAAAGGAATTTATGAACCTTTGACACGGTACGAGTACGAGTACGAGGAGTACAGCAGCGCAGAGTAGGGCGACAAACCCACAAACGACAACGACGACATGATAGCTGTTTTATACAAACCACTTCCCTCCATCGCTCCGCCCCTCCGCCGTTCAGCCGCTCAGCCGCTCTCCCTATTCCATAGCAATTTTTCCGCACGCCCACAGTTGCACAAATACATACATACAAGGTCGCCAGGAGAGCCAGACATTGCATTGTCTTCGCTCGCAGGAATTTCGATAAAAAAACGTTGCCTACTTTCAAAGGAAAGACCATTTGGGAGACATTGTATAAAATGAAAGTCACAAGGGGCAACTGAATCTGAACCGATACTGATGTGGTCTGAGCCATTAATAGCTCATTTGTGCAAGGGAATAACCGCATAAATATTTAAACCACCTAATACGTATATTTGCGTAAACTTCTGCGGGAACCAAATAATAATAATTTAAAAAAAGCCAAAAGAATTTAAATAGTCACGCCTGCCACTCCCATACTTCTCCACTTCTCAAAACAGTTGAGTTTTAGTTAATTGGAATATCAGATATATGTTTAACGTAAAATACAATGGTTCGTCTTTTTGATTTATTTTAATATTGCGATTTGTTGTACAGTATAGTAAATCATAATAATAATCCAATTATTGTTTTTTTTTAATATACTATTTTATACTAATAATTTCATTTAATTCTATCTTCGTAGCTTATCCAAGCTTCTCCCCATATGTATGATAATTACAGAGCCTACCCATTTGCACATGGGGCCATATTTTATCAACTAACTGCCGGCAATGATCTCAACTTCCTTCCATTCCCTTTGATTTATACCGGAATAACATGTAATTATGCTACGCTGGCTGATAAAGCTCCCTTCTGGCTTATGAATTTTGAACACGCAGACATGTCAAAGCAAAGGACTTGGAAAAGTGACCAAAATCCTGGCATTTTAAACGAGCTACATCTGACAGAAGCGAGTGGGGGTTACATCGGCAAAAAGCAGAGCCGGATCCCCGCTCAGCTCTTTGCGGTTTGTCGGCTTTAAAGAGCAAAACCATTTACATTCCCCCAAGTCCGACCCACATCCATTCTACCCCGCTCCACCTGACTGCACGCCTGCCTTCTGTCCAGCTAAAGCGAAAATAATGAGCCCGATGTTGGATCCCGGTGTGAAGCACAGTAAAGAGCAACAACGCAGAGAGCAGCCGAGTTCATGTCAAGCTGTCAGTCAAGGTCGATTTCGTTTTCCGTCCACTGCTCTGCCCAGTTCTGGCCCCTTTCTGCCCTGCCGTGCCGTGCACTTGTCAGGACCTGGTGCAGGTGCTTGTACTGGGCTAGGAGGAAGGTCGGCAAGTGCCTTTTTGTCACTGTCTTGCGGCTGCCAGTGCAATTTTATGTGTGTCGAGTGCGGGGTATTAAGGATTTACGGGTATACGCTATGTGGTGGCTATGTGGCTTGATTCTGTAGGATCTATGCAGCAGAGCGCAGCGATACCCATGGCGTTGAAAGCACATATCATTTAGCTAAGTATCAACTAGTTGACTCCTCCAGCGGCTCCAGGGGGGGTTGAGCAATGAGCGATGAGCGAAGCCAACGGAGCAATGTATGCTATGTGTATGTGCCTAGGGAATTTTTCCATCATTATCAGCGTCCTTGTAGCCGCTTCCACATGCCACTTAATGCCAACGCAGCAGCTCTCGTTCCACTTTTGCATGTCCCCTCATCGTCGTCGTCGTCGTCGTCATCTTGGCGGCCTTTGTGGAGGCATCGCACAAATGCATGCCGGTGTCCGCCCACCATCCATCCATCCGCCCACCCACCAGCCATTCTTTATGCTCCCCACAACGACCATTATATTCAAGCATTTTTGTGGCATAAGTTGGCACTTTAGCGCCAGGCACCTGCTACCTGCTACCTGCTACCTGTTTCATTTTTTCAGTTTCCCAGCTCTCCCTCTTTGTTCTGTTTGTTTTTAGCATCCAGCAATTGCTGCCTTCACATTGTTTCCACTTTTTAGTGCTGCAAAAAATTGTTCTTGCCGATCATGGGGGAAGTACGAGCATTGATTGCTTTCGGATCTATCAGTCCCCATCCGACACGCGCGGATCCACAACATGCCGCAAAATGCCACCGCTGTCTGATGGCCTTGAGCAGGAGGAAGGACTCGTGCTGCCCCCACTCATGAACTCGTATATTCTTACAATTGGCGATATTTTTCAATCGTTATGGTAAAAGGAGCGTGGAAGGGGAAGCTGGAGGGTGACACGCTCTACCCCGCTAAACGTGCTGCAGCCCCTGATTTTTCTACTGCCTCTGCCTGGCCTTGCCTTGCTTCGGCTGCTGCTGTCGTCCATTTTAATGGATGTTGCATTACTTTCCGTGGCAGCTGGAGGAACAAAAACTTTTCCACCAGCGAAAATTGAAAAATAGTTTTGTCCCCCTCTCAATCCCGAAACATACCGAGTTGGCAAAAGTTTCACCCAGAAAGTTAATGGCAATTGCATTTATTGATTAGCTGAGCAGAGTGTACAGTGTACGTTCACACATACATACATACTCGTTTCATTTAATTTAAAAATGCAGCAATTGGGTTTCGGCTACGTATTATGTATGTGTTGAGCTCAAGCAGCAGCTGGTCTCCAACCAGCCGCAAGTTCAACAAGTCAACGCATCAATGTCAAATAATCCTCTACAGTGTATAGAGGGCGGGTGCCATTCAGTGCGCCTGCGGTGAAGAGCGCATGGACACAGCGTCGAAATAAAACAAACTCAAGGAGCAGTGTCACTGCCACGCCTCTTTCCCCAGAGCCGCCCATTAAGTGCTGGTAATGAGCGCTCTGATAATTCATTAAACAAAGCGGCCAAAAAGGAAGAAACCGAAAAAGCAAAACCGAAACGAGGCGAAATGGCAGTGCAAATGGCGGCTGGAAAAATGTCAAGGATAGCTTGGCTTCGTACGGCAGCCGGAAATAAATGGGAGGAAAATTTAAACTTTTTTTATATATTTTTGCGTTGCATAGTGAAACGGTGGGGAAGGAGGTTGGAAGGAATTTTCGATGCGCCTTTAAATGTTAATTTAATTTTGACTTTATTAGTTATAACTAAAATGGAATACTTAAACACATTTATGGATTACACTATGCAACAAAATAAGGTACGTATTTTCTTCCTCATGCTACAATAACTTGAATTGTATAAAAACAATTTAGCACATACTTAGGTATATACATATGTAATTGGGGATCTTCAATAAGTTCTCTAGTAGTACGAATCCGCTACCGATGACCTAAATCATAACACCGCTCTTTATGGGGCTACAAAAAACTTCGCAAAAGTTTATTTCATTTGTTGAGCTAATGGCCGTGTGACATTAGACTTTGCTAACTGGCTAACGGCAAAAACAGAGAAAGTTTTATGGGGAAAAAATGCCGTGAGGGCGAGAGAAGTAAATGCGTTCGCTTAGCCATCCAGTTGAGCTGGGAGCAGCTGCAGATATTATCGATTGTTACACTTTTCAGATACAATTTTGCTTGTCTAACTGACTCTGCGTGTTAGAGCATTTTGACATCACTAGAGGTTGAGCTGTTTGACTGATTGCCGGACAACGTGCCTGCAGGCGGGTGACGGTTACGAACACTAGTATATCTCTTTGCAGAAAATCTTTGGATCGGTTCTTGATGCTTGGCAAAGATGTGTTATGTTATGCTTCTATCGGAAACTACAACTGGAAGCGGAACACGAGCGTTTCACGAAGTTGAAATTACAACAGCCACCAGTTCCAAAAGCGTTCTTAAAGATCTGTGCCTACATAAAAAACCAGTTGCCCGTGTGTTCCGCCCTTACCTAAATCGAACTTCATGTATAGGGAACACATTCTAAGTGGCAGAGCGTGCATGCCAGAAGTACTTCTTGGAAGTAGCCAAGTCCGACTGGGTTATCGTGACCGCTTCGTTTGGATAGTATAGAGTAAGTAATACACTCGGGGCGCTGCGAAACGGGAGTAAAGCGAGAGTAAAGTGCTTAAGTTCTGGATTAGAAGCTCGAGAGCAGCGTGGATCGAAGGCGAGCGATTTGGATCGGTTTTGGTGTACTCGTAAAAAAAACTTCCACATCTATACCTCCGAAAACACTGGCTGAAAATAAGAACTAAAGGAGCAGGAACTTTTTAGCCACGGCCCTTGACGCCATTGTACATAGGCACCGGAATCGGTATCGGAGCTGGTGACTGGCCGCATGCTCTATCCCTCTTTGGGATCGGTTTGTTGGTTAAAGCATGGAGCAGGTATCTCTCCCCGATCTCTCTAAATTTTGCTCATACTTGTCATGAGAGACAACACAACTGCATGAGTAAGAGTTTGCATAGGAAAGAGGGAGAAAGAATAAACGCGTGGAAAGGGGAAGCGTAGCCATGCCATATAAAAATAGTCCGATCTGATCCAGTTCTGATGATAAACCTTTTCTGCTCAGAAACGCT